CCCCCCCCCCCCCCCCCCAAAAGACAAATAAACATCAGCCCTGCATCGATCTAAAGACTTCAAGTTCAGACGAACCGCGCCCTAACCCAGCGGGATCTGCTGACCGACCCATCAGGACTTACGGACCGCAACACCGATACACCGGCCACTGAACACACACCCGTTCCTCAGATGGCGCACCCACCAAATCGAAAAAAACAGCAACCAACGTGCTAATTACCAAGAGGGCATCACATGTGCATAGTGTAGGATAACTCCATTCAAAAACAATGAATCAGACACCCTGCCTACCACGTGGCCTCCTCCCCGGGGAACAAATGCAAGCATCTCACCAAATCGACGAAAACAATCAACCAATGAGCGCGACACTAACAAGCACCGGAACTAAGCGACCAAAGTCCTGCCTCTCTCCTCGAAACCACGACACGACAAGACACGACTGCTGCTGCTACTGTACTGGCGTCAAGGTCGGGGCATCACTCAAATAAACAAGGATTGAGACAGAGAGACTGAGAGAGGAGGGCGTCAAATCAATCATTCAATACTCCTAGCGAGAGTACGGGCTGGGGTTTGGCTCGTCTTCACCGTCGTAGACACCGTTGGTATTGCGGTGATCGTCCCCATCCACGTCTCCTTCAAGCGCGCCGGGGTCGAAGTCCTCCAGGAAGTCCACCTGTTTTTTGTCGTTATGGTCGGTATCGCGGGTAATTCAGCTGCGCAGGTATAATAATGTTGATTACGGCCGATTGAAAAACGCGAGATCACTGACCCGTGCGTATGGCTGCACGAACTACAACATTCGGGAACCATGCTGTCGTGCTTCGACCGGCCTCTCCTTCACATGAAAGCCGCTTCTGGTGTCGGCAAACAAGCGTCTGGTCCGTAATACAGACCGCTCAGCAGTGGGATAGAGTTGGGTCAGCTGCACGTACCTTGGCATCGAGCAGCTTGTCCCCGTCGTGCTGCTTGTAGCACGACACCGCGATCTCGGTGCCTCCAAACTCCATCCTCACCTCCACCCCGCGCTCGCGCAATGGCACCGCATGATCCACCGGTACCTGCGAGGAAAGGAGGGGCGGACATGGCACGCGGTAATTCCATCAGCGTTGGAGACAAGCGGAACACGAAAAAAACAACAACGAGCGGATAAAAGCGACAGATGGAAACAGGTCATTTACCGCCGGGAGCAAAGGACTGTAGCCAGCGACACCTAGATGAAACACCGCAGAATCCCATCAACGGCGGAATGGGACATACGGCACACGGTAATTTTTCATCAGTCTTCGACAGATACCTTACCGTCAACGACGGATGCACAAACTAAAACCGGCACGCGGGCATGTGTGAGAACAGCCCGGGATGGGTTAGACAGGAGACAGGACCACATGGGCAAAAACCATATCAATGCAGTCTTCGACATCTGGTACCACGATCGTTGTTGGGTAGGTAAAAACTGAATGGTGGATTGCGACCAAAGGAGGGCCCGCATAACTTGGACCCTTACAGATGCTAGAGGGTACTTAGCACAGATGGGCGTGGTTTCAAGTCTCAAGGTCAACTTACATGAAGTCACAACAAGCACCATCGGAACCAGCACAACATACCAAAGCTATTCGAGTTCCTTGTTGCTGAAACCACCAGCACGATCATAACCATTCTCGCGTCAACCTACATACCCTGATCGGGGTTGGCTATCTGTTGTGTTGTGTGTTGCCTTCACAATAAAAATCGTTCCAGCCTCCGCTCAGTACCTGTGTCCATACTGGTCCAACTGACGCGGACGTCTTCCGTGGCCACAAGCCAACTGCCCCCCCACAAGGGGATACTTGAAAAAAAAAACTGATACCAGAAAAAAATTCCTCCAAGGCGCGACATGTTTTTTTCCCAAACAAAAGCAAAGAACTATCAGGAGGTGTAACAATGTCCAAACATGGAGGGCACCGGTGAACTCGTCCTTTGATATCGGAGACAAACGCGAATAAAAAAACAAAACAGTGTACATCAAAGCACAAAGTGCAGGGAGGGCCAACCTCGATGAACGCAGGTCTTTGCACTTGCATTAACAAAACAAGCGCTTTGTACATAAAACCCTACTCGATCATTGCTTCAGGTGAGATGGATCATCGCAAAGGCACGGGCAGAAAAATACCAGCAGTCTGGACGCGAAAAAAATAAACAAAAAAAAAACGCAAAAGAAATAAAGTGGTCACCGTACAACACTTCCGTGCTACAATACGGGCTCTCAGCTGTGGAAGAGGGACATGGATGTGTTGCGTTGTTTGTAAGAAAAAAAACAGCAGGGCCAACAAAACCCCCAAGCAAAAGCAGAGAGAGTTGCACGAAAGGCTTGACTTGACTTGACTCACCCTGACAGAGGCGATTTCTTGCACCAGCACCCCCATATCCTTAAGGTATAACACCGCCTCTTGGCGCGTGACGAGCAAGTGTAGACCTACGAACACCTGGCGGATACAGCCCAAAACCAGACACGAGGACAGGTCACACGGCGGTAGGTAGGGTTACGAAAGCCAATAGAAGTAGACCAAAAAACACGAGATGAGGGAACACAGTCGTGACTATGGCTACATATGAACATAGCAAAACAAAGCACCACGCCAACT